CACCGCATCTCATTTTGGTCCCTGGTACCATTATAGAGCAGATCGTGGGCGAGTTGAAACGGTGGTTCCATCCTCATGTCATCGACATTTTTGTAATGCCGACAATGGAGCGGAGATGGGATGAGTTCAACAAGGCTGTTGATTCATCGAAGCAGGACAAATGCAACATCGTGATCGTTGCAAGCCATAGTGTAAGCATTGGGTCATTCACTCTGGTTTAGCTCACTGATAATGAATTTCAAATGGGTTTCAGAGTGTCAGTCAGTTAGCACATCGGAATTTATGGATCACAAAGTCTAAGACTGAATTGGTGTCGACTCTCCGCCCCCCTAAGACGAATTCATTGGGTTACGAGCTGATATGGTCAAGGAGTTTCTGCAGTGTCATCGTCGACGAAGCACACAACTTCCGGACACCAAATGCTGCCTACCACGGCATGAATAGAATTATGGAAAATACCTGTGTGCGCCTAATTGTGTCGGCAACTCCACTGTACCAGTCACCTCGTGTATGCCTTTTTTGCTCTTTTCATTCTGATTCTGATTCTTGCTTCTTTCTCATTATAATATCAGGACCTATGCAACCTCGCAAGACTTATTCGTTTGAAGGCATTCATAGGTAAGGCAGCCGAATCGCTCGAGAAGGAGAAAGTCAGAGAGCTGTCAAAGATGCGGAGGGATGTTGCCAAGGGCAACAATGGCGATGATGATGCTCTCGCTGTGTTCAACACGAATGCCTTGAAGGGCGTTGATGGTAGAAATCCATACAAAGGGGTGTACGATGCTAACAATGACTGGGTCATTGACATTCAGGCTCGCTATGAAGGACGTATCATTCGACGGGCAGTAACGTCGATCAAGTACACTGACCCCCCAGCTGACAAGCCTATCATGCTCTTGAATGAACTCCCGCCATATGAAAAGATCGAAGTGATGGTAAGCATGGCAGATGCTGAGAAACGGGAGATGGACAACCAGATGTCAAAGTGGAGCAGCGAGTGAGTACAGAAAAAATTGTACTGGGACAGTGGATCTGATGCAGACTCTTCTAGTTCAAAGACACATGGAGCTGTTGATGTCATGGATGCCGGGGTAAGTTAAGTTATTGTGTGATCGCAGGGAGCCCTTCCGCTTCACGGTACATTACCAATTTTGCCATTTTGCTCATTTTTCTCTTAGGCATTTTTGCTCAATTACCGGCTTGTGGTAGCATATCCACAATCTCAACGCGATCCTGACTATCTGTCGAAATCTGGCAAGAAAAAGTTTCCACCATTCGAAAGTCTTGAAGAGTGGGAAAAGTATCCAGGAGCAAAGCTCGAGGCGACGTTGAGATTGTGCAGGCACTATTTGTCTGATGACAATGTGTCTCCACCATATATCGAAGACGGTCACCTCGTTTTCCCTGATCCTCCTGCAATGGTGACCGGCGATAAGAAGAAGAGGATTCAGCAGATAAAGATCCTTATCTTTCATGAGTTCCCTATGATGGATGAACTCATCATGTCGGTATGTAATTTGAATCTTTCTTATTCTTTGCATACTCATTTTGTTTAGGCCTTCATTATGAATGGCATTAAAATCTTGTCGCTGAATGGCTCCATGAGGCTCATGGCATGTCAACAGGTGGTTGAGAAATTCCTTCATCCCGATTCAGATGTTCGTGTGCTTCTCCTCAGCCAGGTAGGTAGCTCTGGGCTTAACCTGATGAGAGCTTCTGTCGTCATCCTCTTTGTAAGTTTCAGTATCATTGCTAGTTGACATTCACTGACTGAGATCCCACAGGATATTGGTTGGACTGCCATTCAAGAAGAACAGATGATCGGTCGTGCCCATTGTCATGGGCAAAAGGAAACCGTTTACATCTTTCGCCTTATCGCGACAGACACTATTGACGTCTTGATGGCTCAACACTCTGGTTCAAAAGCCCAGCAGCTTCAGCATTTCTTCAAGAAGCCTGATTTTAATGTCCGTCGAAACAGGAGTAAGTTCCTTTTGCTTTCGGATAATGATGGTTATTCATATTTTTGCAGAGGCATTCCGGCTGCTGTACAATTGTGATGTACCAGCAGATGCTCCTGCTGCAGCTGATGGAGAAAGCGATAACGATGATGACGAGAGCACCCAGGAAAGTGCCGTTGAACAGCCTCCTGCAAAAAAACGCAAGACAAATAGCAAGAAAACGGCGAAAACAAAGGAAGTAGATGTCATCGATGAATCCCGCCGTCGTTGTAAAGTGCCAAAGAAGGTGCCAGAGGATGGAAACAGGGAGGGAGCTCCTGCTACCAAGGTACAGATGACGATGCAGAGAGGATCCATAGATGAGGCTGGACCGTCGAAGGCTGGACCGTCGAATACCCAGTCAAAGCCCAAGCCCAAGCCCAAGCCCAAGCCTATCACAAAGCCAGCACCGAGCGCACCACAGAATCCCATCGAGGAGGGTAATGCACAACCTGCTCAATGTGAATCTCAGCCCTCGGCCCCCTCCACTCCATCATCCCCTCTTCCTCATCCTGTCATCCCTTTCTCCACCCCTGCAGTTATACCACCACCAGGGCGTGGAATGACTGCCATCACTGCCCCCTCCAGCGATATTATCTCGACACCAGATGCTAATGAACCAATTAGCAATGACGAGATAGAAAGCTATGGGGGCACTGCTAGCGGTGGTGCTTCACAACCTCTCGACGATCTCCTTGACTTCGATGATCTAACTCCTCTGTCTTCCAATGCCCCCTCATCTCCATCGACACCAACCCCATTGCCTGGCAGGAAGAAGTCCATTTCAACTGCACCAACAGGTAA